ATAAGTTATTTGTTTTTTTTTAAAGTAACTTATTTCAGAATTTTTCACTTTTTTACTTTTTTTCAATGCAGTATTACTTTTGTAAAGCAGGTAATTTTGTTGTTGTTGTTGTTATGTGAAATTGAGCATAAATGGAACGATGAAAACCTAAAATGTATTTATTGTTCAGTTTAAAAGTGATTTTTTGATCGATCATTTTAACCAAACTTTCTGGATATTGTATCCAATTAGTTTGAGAATATTTATGCAGTTATCTAAAATACAGTAAAAAGTCTAATTAAAAACAGTTAAAAATAATAATGTTGAACAATGTTTCCTTAAATTAACGCTGGTTATCACTTTTTAAAAGTCAAATAGGTTTCTTGCATTAATAATGTCACCTTTGTCATTATTCGGTGCAGGTTTAGTCTTGTAAAGCAAGCTGTTTTCAGTATTGATGATTGATTTTGTTGTTATTGTGTGAAAAAGCATAAATAGAGCAATGAATAACCAAAATGTATTTATTGTTTTGCTTATGCTTTTAAATATTTCTGCATATTATTGTGCCCTTAAAAATAATCAGTGCATCTCTAATTTAAGAGCCCTATAGCCAATTAAAAAGCAATCATTGAATGCTCATGTCAGAATATTGCATTGTTTTATATTGGCCAGCCCTGTTCACCACGTGCACTGCACAGTCACTGTGACCCATCATAGCCCAAGAATGTGATCCCTTTCATTTTCAATGCTGAGACACTGCAGTGCATTGTGTTCAGCATCATGGGTGGATATGCAGCTTGAAAGTGTTCAGGCCGTAAATTAAGTAGAAAAAGATGGATGAAGAAGAGGTTTTAGGGCCCTCTGGAGTGGGTTGTCGGCCTGGGGAATGTTTTCAGGGCAGTTATGTATGGAGACAGAGCAGTCTCTCTGTGTACACGGGGCCCTCTTTGGCCTTTAGGGCCTTTTTTCTTTGAAGGTTAGTTGGGGGAAGGCAAAGAGGCTCTGAGGAGGGAGTTTATACCGTAAGAGGAGAGAATGGGACGAAGCTTGAACTAGGCTAGACCTCAGAGTCTCCTATCTGGTTCAAATGATTTTTCAGATGCCTTTGCTTTTAATTGCTTCTTTTCTGCTTGATAGTTTGTCTGTTTCTCGCCGTGCTCGTAGCAGATTAAGCCTGTTAACTACACAGGGCGCCTTTCACCTCGCTGTGGTGGAATCTCAAGCCAGAATGGATCTTATTCATCAGAAGCACTCTTGGTGTGGTCAGGGTTCAGGCTGTTTTCCTCTGCCATGTACCTTGGCAAATACTGGCCAGCGTCTGTCCCTGCAGAACCCCAACACCCCTGCTTTGCCAACGTCCTTATCGTATCTGCGGATTCTATTGAGTCCGTTATTTTAAGTGAATCAAAAACAATTTTAAAGTAGTTGGAGCAGTTACTGAATTAATTTGTCTTACTAAACTGCAGGTTATTGCTTTCATCATGTTTGTTTTTTAAATGTTTTGCTTTTACTGCTTTATGCTCAGTGTTTTTTTTAAACTGGTGGTTTGTATCACAATGTTTTTATGAAATCTGTTTTATTTCCTCCCAAATTCTGTTTTCCACATTAATTAAATTAAATTTGGAATTAAATTAATTTTAATAATAAAAAAACACACATAATCTATTGAAGCTTGTTTGAAGGGTTAAAAAATTAAAGGTAATTGTCACTTTTTATCTCACAATATCTCATCGCTTGCAGTTCTAAGTTTATATGGCACAATTTGTTTTTCTTTTTTTCCTCGTCTTTTCCAGAATTATGAGATATGAACTCGGAATCTGACTTTCTTGCAATTGTGAGTTTATATCTCATTTACATCTTTCTCCTAAAAAAAGGTTAATATCTATTTATTTGAGAAGAAGAATTTA